TGACAATTCATATCCAGTCTAAAGTCTTCACCACTTCATCAAATCTCAAATTCTAAAAAATATGAGAATTGTCATGTTTGCTGTATACGGGGGAATTTTCTGGTATGTAAGAATTATAGAAGTCAATTTCCTCTCTCTTTCTATGGAATATTATTTTATGGTTCGAAGATAAAAAATTAAAGGCTTACCTAACTAAAATGCAGTAAGCGCTCACATAGGAGTTGATTAAAGGATTGAAGGCCTAAAAGTTGCTTAATTATTGTGGTAACCAAGCAGGAAGGTAATAGTAAGTGGCAGCTTTTTCTTTGTAAATACAGAGCAAGGGAGGCCTCTGTTCTTCACTGCGGCTCGTAGGTTGGTTAGTTGGCTGATCTGGGTGGTTTTATTTTGGGCAGACCAAAATGGCTTGCGCTAATTTCTTTGCATGCCATGGCTTTCCCGTCCATCACAACAACCCATTTCACCACCGCCACCACCCTCGCTTTGCCAGTCATAACTACAGAGATGCCCTGACCAAATCAATCCTCTTTTTCGAAGGCTTTGGGTCTGGTAAGCTCCCTTCTAGCCAGAGGATGACATGGAGGAGAGACTCGGGTCTAACAGATGGCTCAACCATGCATGTATGTGTACAAAGATGACTCCCTTTCTCTTCAGCTTTCTTTTTTCTTGTTCACATTTCTTTGAGGCTCACTCATCTTTGGTGTTGAAATGACAATGCAGGTGGATTTGGTGGGAGGTTATTATGATGCAGGAGACTCTGAAATTTTGGATTCCCTATGGCTTTCACTACAACCATGCTTTCATGGAGTGTTTTAGAGTTCGGTGGGTTGATGAAAGGTGAGCTGCAGAATGCTAGAGAAGCCATTCGTTGGGCAACTGATTACCTCCTCAAAGCTACAGCCCATACAGACACCATCTATGTTCAGGTTTGCAGTCATGAATCTCTCTGCATTCTTCAGTTTTATACACATTGTTTGGAGACACCATAAATATTAAATAGGCATGTGCGCACTTGATTTGGGAAATATGGCTGAGGAAATCGAAATGATGACGTTTGGGGTTTATTTTCAGGTTGGTGACGCTAATAAGGACCATGCTTGTTGGGAGAGACCAGAAGATATGGATACTCCAAGAAGTGTTTTCAAGGTTGACAAGCATTCACCTGGTTCTGATGTTGCTGCTGAAACTGCTGCGTCTTTGGTGTTTAGAAGATGTGACCCCACTTATGCCAAGCTTTTGGTCAGGAGAGCTATCAGGGTAAATATGTCTAGTTAGTGCTCATAAGTAAAAACCTCAGTGAAAAAATTTGATGTTCACAAAATAATGTGAGTACAATTTGTTCCTTGTCTAGGTGTTCCAATTTGCAGATAAGTACAGAGGAGCCTACAGCAATGGGCTGAAGAGATTTGTTTGCCCTTTCTATTGCTCCTATTCTGGATATGAGGTTAAGCTTGTGCCTTTGAGTCCTGCATTACAAGTTTTGATTTTTTTTTTTTTAAAGAGCTGTTCATAATACTTAATCTCCTCCTGGGTGTCTAAAAAATGGCAGGATGAGCTGCTGTAGGGGGCTGCTTGGCTGCATAAGGCGACCAAGAACCCAACTTATCTCAATTACATTCAAGTTAACGGCCAGACACTTGGAGCTGCACAGTTTGACAATACCTTTGGTTGGGATAACAAGCATGTTGGTGCAAGGATTCTTCTTTCCAAGGTTCCCATTCTCACTTGTAGTTCTCAATTTGTTTGTCAAATATCATCTTTATGGTGATTTATCAATTGAAATCATTAATATTGTCCTTGCGTCTCAGACATTTCTTGTTCAAAAACTGCAATCCCTCCATGACTACAAAGGTCATGCAGATAATTTCATCTGTTCTCTCATACCAGGGGCCCCTTTCTCTTCAGTCCAATATACACCAGGTCAGGTCCCCACAGTTCTGTCTCTCATTTCCATCTCCCCAAATGTGGCGCCGTCTTCTTCCTAAACCGCTAGTATTTTTATTTTTTTCTTGATCACCAGGTGGGCTGCTGTTCAAAATGAGTGATAGCAACATGCAGTACGTCACCTCAACTTCATTCTTGCTCTTAACCTATGCCAAGTACTTGACCTCTGCTCGCACGGTTGTAAACTGTGGTGGAACCGTCGTCACTCCAAAGAGGTTACGGACCATTGCCAAAAAACAGGTACATCAAATGGGTCACAGGCACCATAAAAGCATCCTCGAGGCTATATTGATCTCTTATATTAAGGTACTTACTGATTTTGTTAAATAGGATTTTTTGTAACACATCAATTTTTGTCATCAGGTAGACTATGTACTTGGAGACAACCCATTGAAGATGTCCTACATGGTGGGGTATGGTCCAAGGTATCCACAAAGGATTCAGCATAGGGGCTAATCTCTACCGTCCATCGCTACACACCCAGGAAAGATCCAACTCACCTTAGGCTTTAGTTTGATGAATTCTCAATCCCATAACCCCAACGTTCTTGTGGGTGCAATAGTTGGAGGGCCAGACGAACATGACAGGTTCCCAGATGAAAGATCAGACTATGAGCAATCTGAACCAGCTACTTACATTAACGCACCCCTGGTAGGAGCATTGGCCTATCTCGCGCGCTCTTCCGGCCAGCTCGAAGTGCTAGCAGCATCTCCAATTTGTTAGATTTTTAGATTTAGGTCTGTGTCTTGTTTTTTAGTGACTTTGTTTTCATGTGTCCTAAAATACTTATCTAGATGTCAACGTGGTTAAAGGGGTCAAGAGACCTAAGGCTCGAGCCCCAAATCTTCAAGCACATAGGTCACCAAGCATGCATAACCTTGTTGGTTAGTTTTTTGTAACCCCTCTTCATTGTACCCAGCTCCACCCTGTGATGGTAGTGCAGTTGCCGTGCCTAGAACGGCTAAGGGCCAGATATGGCCCTAATAGGATAGCCGTTGGGCTTGTTTTATAGTAGTCCGTTTTGGAACTTTTATTATAGGATAGCCGTTGGGCTTGTTTTATAGTATGGTAGTCCGTTTTGGAACTTTTATTCTGTCCAGTAGTGTTTAACTTGCAAGAACTTTGCTTCTATAATCTCCCACCCCCGGACTTTTTTTTGTCGAGAGTTGAGCGAAACTAAAGTGGATTGAAGTGAGGAATAGTTATCAAACCTATGATAACCGAAGTTTTAATATTTTATTGAAAAAATTAAAAAAATAATTTATATAAATATAAATTATATATGTTATTTTTTAAATTGAGATATTCAAAAAAAATATTTTATATTAAAAAAACATATATATTTTTTTTAAACATATATATACTAAAAGACTTCACCTGTCATGCTGTCATGTTGATCCGTGTTTTATTGCCACCGAAAGTTGGGCCACTAACAGACAGCATTAAAAATGTTAGGAGATGGGATGTCTTGTCCTTGAAACCAAAACTACCAAGCAAAAAAGTTGGAGATGAAAACGAAAGAAATTAACAGTATCAGTGGATAATGTACCGTATGAATATCTTTTCCGTCGATGGAGTTAACGAGTAATTGACCGTTGAAAGGAAACGAGGGAAGGAAAGTAGATAAAGAGGGAAATTTCGCCGGAACACGTGAAACTGTTTGGAGGTAGTGGTTCTTGCGGTCAAAAAGATCTGTTCGAGTCGCAGACTTGTCAGATGGTCTGAGGAGAACCCATGCTGTTTTTTCTTAGGCAATGATAGGCCCATGGCCTTCGGGGCAGTGCTTCATCTGGTTACAATGCAGGACCGAACGCAATATCACCGTTTGAATGAGAGAAGGCATTAAATGGATAAATCGGGCATCTAGCATGTAAAATTTAAATAAAAGATGAAATCATATAGAAACAAAAAGTTTAAGTGAAATGACGTAATTTTGGATTTCGCAGCTGTGAATCGTCGTGATGTTTAATAAATGGTGTTGTTATCGTGGTTTATAATTGCAATATATATTTAAATTTAGAACTACTTAGTTAATTAGCTTATTATAGAAATCATAAAATTCCAGAATAAAATATTTAAAATCTAAAAACCTGATGATTGGAATAGCAATTTTACAGCTATTTAAAAAAAATTGAAATTTTTTAAAAAAATTTAAATGCAATCCAATTATTAAATAAAAAACTATAATTCTTTTAAGTTATTATTGTAATTAGATCTTTTTTTAATCTAAATTTATTTTATTAATTTATAAATATATTTATTAAATCATTAATATAATTTATTTAGATAAATTCTTATTTAGTTATCACACTATTCAAAATCATCTATTATCATAAATATAACTACATCATTAGCTTTAAAAAACCAAAAACAATTATTATATGAATAATAACTTTTAAAAATTTTAATTAAAATTTATTTAAAGTCTAGATATATAATTTAAACATAAAATATATTCAAAAAATATTTATAAAATTATAATTATATTTTTTTACTAAATTAATCAACCACTTCATCACACATCCAAATCAATTAGTTAACCAATTAAACTAGATAATTTAAATTTTACATTGTCATGCTTTTTTTAAGGCAGACAACTATCTTGTACACTTAAAAATAACAATATTTAGTAAATATACACTTCTAAATACAACAAGATTAAAATATAATAATTCACCATATCTTTATCAAAGACATTTTTCCTAAATGTTTTTAAAAAACAATGTAGTTTTAAAAAATATCCGAATTAAAGAAGCCAAAACCCATTTTTCCACTCTCCAAGGACGTTCAAAATACTAGACGTTACTTATTTGAGACTTAAAAGGATGGCCACAAACAAACAGACACTGAACCGTGAATTCCCAATGATTATTGTATAACAGCAACAAAAGCATGGAATATGCTACATAGAAAGAACCAACCATCCAGCAAACTGCCCATCTGATCCCTCTCATATACACTCACAGCCTTGTGCGTGCAAAGCCATTAGGTTCTTGAAGGACTTGGCCTTTCCTAGTTGTAGACCTCAATGAAAAAGAAAAAGCAATATTCACTAATTACGGAACATGTGAATTTCTTATTGCTTGTGTAGCGCAAGAAAAAGAAAGAAAAATCAATATTTCAGCTGGTTCAGAGAAGACAGAACACATAACCTCACAGGAGGTTAACTGACTTGCTCAAAGATTGATTAACATGTCAATCCTGTTCGTTGTCCACTTAACGAGTAACAACAGATAAAAGTACAAATATGGGGCCTTTACACCGACCAGTTGATGGCACACGGTAGAGGTGCCTAGCCTCATAATCGTTTGCCATTCTCTCTTTATTACGTTTTATTTTTGCGCGAACCAGGTGATAAAGCAGTGCCTACTTGGAGGAAGTTGGTGCTGGAAAGCATACCTACTAGCGCTGGCCAAAGCACAACTCTCGGGGAGTCAATTTATTTATTCACAACAGCATGGCTACACACAGCCTTCCTTGAAACATTAACCAGCATAAGATAGCTGCAAACATCATTGTACGCAACAGAACTTTTTACATGCCTCCCGCATGAATTTATTTATGTACCATTATAACCGTGTGATAGTGCTGCGTCTGATTCATGGAGGCGTCTCAGTTCCTTGGGAAGCAATAGCTTAATGCCGGTCCTCGATTGACAAAGGTACAGTTTTCACCTGGAGATAAAAGAAGCATGAACATGACATTCCAAATGTTTGAGGTTGCACTTGGACAGAACATAGAACTAACAATTCCAGAATTCTACATATAGCAATAAAAAATAACAGAACATACAATAGAACATCTTGTTAGAACTTCGGAAACAAATAGACATTAATGTGGAATTAAAATGAATTCCTAGAAACTATCCAAGATTGCATTTGAAGAGCCAAGAGCACAGTTATGAGACCATGTTTCTTCTGAAATGGTCAGGGTAAAATAGCTATTGCCAATTATGCTATCTTAATAATTATTTAGAAAACGGTCAATCACTCACCAAATCACGGAACTTGAGAATGTAGAACATCTCGAGATATCTTCGGGTCTCACGCCTCTCAAGTTTGGAAACATACTTCCAAAAACCATATACCCCAGCCAATGTCATCAGCCTTTCAGAGTAAATCTTCCATGTATATCTACAGTATCAGAAGATCTAAATGAGCCTCAGAAAGCATGATCTAATGGTGCCAAAAACAGATTCAGATACCAACCTTTCATAAATCCGTTGAAGCCCAGCATCAGATATTTTTTTCCAGTAGCTGGGGTCGTCCCTAAATTTTTCAAAGAAATCTGTCATAAATGCAGCAGCCTGATCAGGATAATACGGATCAATATGGAATCCTGATACACCATGTTCAATAATCTCTGCTGGACCACCATGGCAAGTGGCAAATGTTGGAAGACCGCAAGTCATGGCCTCCACAACAGTGAGTCCAAAGGCTTCATAAAAAGCAGGCTGCAATAGACACAGGAGGAGAGAGTTGGGAAGTCAATTATGGTTCCTGAGAATATCTTTTAACACAATGAGAGACCACAGTAGCACTTTATACCTGCACAAAGGCTCCTTTAGTGTCTGCTATGTAGCGATAAAGCTCTCCATTGCGTGCTCGATTTGTTTGGGCTGTTAACCATCGAAATTGTCCATCCAACTTGTATTTCTTCATAAGTTCATGCATCTTCTCTATCTCCAGAATTTCTTCCCTGTCATTGGACTTCTTAACATCAATGTAACCAGCCACCACGACAAGGTTCGCCAGCTCCCTCAGTCTGGTATTCTTACCATAACACTCTACCAATCCTGTTATGTTCTTGACCCGGTCCAGCCTTGCCATGGAAAAAATTATGGGCTTTGACCTATCGCTCAGTGTACCACTGCATCAATATAAATGAACAATCAGATTTCATAAACAAGCTTAAGCCTGATCTTCATATTCTAAATTTCCAATTATATAACTGAATATTGTTCTTGAAGAGTAATACAAGAATATACTCACATCCAATCATCAGTCTGCTCAGAATCATATAACATCTTTTCTATTGAACAATGGAGGGTTGTAAGTCTTTTCTGCTTGTCAGAGTATGGGAAGTAAATGTCCATATCAGCCCCAGGAGAGACGATATTGAACTTTGTATCAAATACATTAATGCCATGAACAACCCGATATAGCCCTGGAAGAGTGAAAGCAGTGTGGCTCTCATACTGACCAACAGTAGTCTTCCTGAAAGAACAAACAAGCATACAACAAGTGAAGCGGTTGTTTGACAAGAATCACTTTAACATCTAAGCAAAATGACAAAGTTGTAAGATCAATTTCAGCAAGTGTAATTTCCAAAATAAATTAATTCAAGTGACAGCATATATTCTAATGTAATACCATGTTAAATTTGGACAATTGGAAACCCAGCTGAACATCCAGCACAAAGACACAGTAAAACACAAAATTCATATCTACATGAGGACAATCTCATGGATGTTTATCTACAATATACAACACCTCTGAAAAACTTTCCTGAAATAAACTTAATCTGCCATTTTTTTCTGCCAGTTTTGTACAACAGTTAACAGAAGCACTGCAAGATCCTTCACGTTTTAAGTTTTCAAAGCATCAATCTGAACACTAAAAAATTCAATCCCCAAAGAGTTCTTGTAAAAAAGTGGATAATAAATCCATAATCATCATATATGATTGCATAAGCAATTATAAGCCAACACATGTAAGTTTAGTGGATTAAAGGTAACACTTACGTTCCTGCAATCTCTTGATATGTACTTGTGATGATAAAATCAGCATTGTTCATGGCTAATACGTCAGCAGTGAATTGACATGAGAAGTGGTATTTATCATCAAATTTTTTCCAATAAATATCTGAATCAGGATACTTTGTTTTCTCCAAGGCATGGGCAATAGTGCACTGCATATTTCAAAACTTCAAAAATGTAAACACTCCTTTCGGTAAATGATCTGTGGGACTGTGATTCATATTTACAGATATCAATCATAGCAAACCTGTGTGACACCCATCTTGTAAGCCAATAAAGACGCAACAAGGTTCCCATCACTGTAGTTGCCTATAATAAAATCAGGAATACCCTGTAACTCAGCTACAATTTCACTGGCTGCATCCTGATTATAAAGGTATAACCAAAAAGAATTGAGAGAGCCAGAAAAATGAATAAATGAAAAATAATTTAAAACTTTATGCTTAAGCTACATGTACATTAAGGAGAAAGGAGGTGATGATGGTAACAGGAAGAAGCGGTAAATTGACAGCTGCATCAGTGCAATGGTAATACAAAAATAAAGCATAAGATGTAGTCTAATGAAAATGGAAAATTGTCAAATGACTACATATATGTTTAACTGATGATAAAAGTGAAAATCTTGACACATGATACTCATTAATTATATGGATAACATGAAACCATGAGCATGTCAAAAAAATTGATTACAGTGTTATCAAGATTTGATAAAAATAAAAAAATAAAAATAAAAAAATAAGAACTACGAATGGTACTTCCACTCTATAATGATATAGGATAACCATGTTCTACCTCAGCAAATGTCTCCAAATATGGCCACACATCAAACCTTGAGATCCATTTACGGAGAATCCCATGCTCTGATCTAAATGGTACTCGCAGAATGTGAGTGTGTTCCGTTCCACTGACTCTTTCCAGCCTCTGGTTGCAGCTAGTCCCTTTTGAATCAGGTATTAACCTGGTCACCTTCAAGAATCAAAGGAAAATGTATTACAGAAAGAGGGACAATCAACAGCTATCGAAGTGATATGGTTGAAGAAATGGACCCAAGATAAGCATAAATGCACTTACAATTAGAATCTTAGGCTTAAAGTCCAATCCCTGCTGCTGTATTCTAAGAAGCATTTCATTCTCTAGAGCACGAACTTGGTCCAGGATATACACAATCTAGAAGTACATTAGCAACCAACTGTCTTAATAAAGGAAATAACCATGTAGCATAAATAAGTATGAGTTCTTCATGCTGCAGAGATTTATAAAAGAAGACATTGAAGGTTGAAGGAAAACCATACATACCTGCCCACCAGTGTCAGGCAAACCTAAAACATTTGCTTGCCCAAAGTATCCATGTGGAGACAAAATAACAACATTGAACACCATCGGTACTCTCCCAAGGAATGTCTCTAAAGTTGAGGGATCTGGAGCTTGGAGTATGTCCAAGAGAAGATGCATCATCTCCAGTACCCGAGCTGCAGTATCCCCCCACCCTCTCTCAAAACCCATTCCCTGAAAGCTGAATCAGAGTGAAACAAGAAAAGAAAATCTTTAGGCACGTACAAGAGTGCTAATTTCACTGTTAACATACATCCAACGAGTTAAAGATACAAGATCCTTACGTATATTCAAACTCAGTATACAGTGTTTCAGAAGGAAGCTTCGAAATATACTCTTCTGCCTTGAGAAGAGCAGACTGAAGTCGGGATACACTTTTTATCCGATCATTCAACATTAAGGCCTGCAAATAATCCTTAATTCAATCATTTAGCTCCACTGAAACCCCATACTAAGTACTATTCCCATCATCCCTCTTCCACATGTTTTAAACCCAAGCTATGTGAATACCATTATAATAAATTCTGAATGTGCAATAACAATAAACAATTACATGGAGGATAAATGCCAAAATCTGGAAGTGATAGGCGCTCTTAAAGGAGGCCCTTCTACAACATACTTACATGCCCTTTGTATTTGTGGACTCGGAGGAAATCAAGTAAAGGTTCCAAAGTGTCTTTGTTGCGAAACATATTTGAAGAAAGATGTCGGTTGAGGAACTGAACACCGTTGCCAATTGATGATGACCGGGTGGGACGAGGAAAAGCGGCATTGAAGGGCTCAAAATCAAGCTCAAGCACATAACGGTCATTAGACCTATTCAAAAAAATAAAAAAGAGGTCATTAATCAATGACCCAAAGAAAAGTATTGAAAAAAAAATATACCAAAAACATAAATCATGCACATAAATAACCCAAAGATTTTTAGTAAGAAAGTGTCCACACAAAAAATTAAATAAACAAAGAGTCATGCATACATGAGATGTTCTGTAGCGATATGATAAAAAGTATTAAACCAATAATTTCACCGTAAAAGGAAAAGAAAGAGTGCGAAGATGCTTACGGGCCATCAACAAGTTCTTCTTTGAAACGAAGATATTCTGAAACAGTCAATTCCTCCACCTTCAGTTGGGAGACATCAACACGTACATATTCCCAAACTCCAGGTCTCGGACGAATTGATACGGCCACAAAAGGAGGCAGAACTATGGCTTCCTATACATATCACCATCAATACAATTTTTTTTGAAAAAAGAAGAACATAATAGTATATTTTGTTGCAAACTTTGTAAAATTCACAAACAAAAAAATAATCCCGAAGCAACTAACTAAGAACAAGCAAAAATTATAACAATAAGTAACTAAATAAAAAGATAATAGACTGACTTGCGCAGCTTTGAGGACTTCACTAAATGGACCTTCTCGGAGACTCAGCCTTGCTGCATCATCGCACACGATATTGTCCAGTTCATCTATCAGATTATTCGGATGCAGAATTCCTTTTCCCTGCTCCACATACCTTCCTTCCACAATACCAATTCAAAAGTTACTACTTCCTGTAAAACCATAAAAAAAAAAAAGGAGAGAGAAATGATGGTAGAAACCTGGAGAGGAGAGAGACAAGCACGTTACGGTGAGCGGAGAGAGTGTCCTGCACGCGCTCCCTCATGCTCGGAATTCTTTCAAGCTTAGGGTTTGCCATGATCGATCAAAGAAGAAGCTGTATGGTCTCGTATGGTCTGGGTGATCAGGAATTAAAAAACTGGTTGGAGATTGGAGAAGAGAGAGAGTGTGTGTGTGTCACTTACTTTGTTAAGGCTGAAGGGTGAGGAAGAGGAGGGCAATTTATAGTGAATAGCTGTGAAGGACAAAATGAGAATTGCGTGTTTGAGTATTGAACGATCGCTACTGGGAAACTGTCACTGTTAGATGCTCAAAACAAGGGACGAGGGCCTGATTACTCGGCGCTGGCGGTTTTCCCTTTTTTTAAAAAAAAAATGGGCATCTGCATTAGGAGCTGTTTGGAAAGTTATATTGTATGTTTTTCAAATTATTTTTTTATTTGTAAAATATATTAAAATAATTTTTATTATTATTTTCTTAAAATTTAATTTTATATAAAAACATTAAAACAATTCAAAAATAAATTAAAACAAAAACAAATCAAATTTTGGCAAAACTGCCGGTGAAGCCCACCAAACACGCCTTGTGCCACCAAATATCCCGCCACTTGGGTGCATTATCCAGTTAATGTGTTTTTTGGTAATTTGATAATGATTTGAGATGTTCTTGGAATACTATAATTGGATTGGTACGTTTTACCGTGATTTTTTTATAGTTTTTAAATCATTCATTTAAAAAATTATGAGTTTGATGTTTTATCATTTCACATTCAAAATGAAATCTAAATGTGTCATTAAATATATTTTCAACTTGTGTTTAGCTTAGTGGTATGGAATAAAAAAATGAATTTAAAATATTAAAATATTTTTTTATAAAAACAAAATTAAAGAAATAAAAATAAATATCTTTAATATATTTTTAAATAATTTTTTTATATTTTTAAATTATAAAAATTAAAAGAATATATTTATTATCCAAAACATTAATTCTCTTAAGGATTTTTATTGAGTTTTAGGATGCAAAATACTATTCATTACAATAACATCTAAACTTTTTTATCTCTTGATTTTTTAATTTTTTACCTTGGTTTTTGGCTTTAGAATAAGATGATATTTTCACCATGTTATAAATATTTTTTTTAATATTATTATTTTTTATGTTTTTTATAAATTTATTTAATGTTGTTTGTTTTTTATTTAAGTGATCAATTTAACTAATGAATTAAGATTTAAGATTTTTTTAATTTATCATTATTTTATATTAAAAATAAATATTTGATCCGTGACATTACGAGGAATATATTAAAAGTTGTTTGGACACCGTATTTTTTTAAAATTTAAATTTTTTTATTAAAAAAAAATTTTAAAAAATAAAAAAAAATATTATTTTAATATATTTTAACATAAAAAATATTTTAAAAATAATCATAATTATATTTTATAATTATTTTCAATAACCACCACTAATTTGAAAAAACTAAAATAAAAGCAATTGTTTTTATTCTTCCAATGGTACTCAATGATAATACCGAACTCCTAAAACATGCTGGCGATAAACCATTGAATGCATGTTAATGAATGATACCTTCTGGTCCTACCTCCTTGACCAGAAAGTTACATAGGAGACAACTGAACTTTATCTAGTTTGTCTTTATTTGGAAAATATTTTTTTTATTTAAATTATTTTTTTAATATTTTTATGTAATAATATCAAAAATAAATTTAAAAAAATATTATTTCAACATACTTTTCAATAAAAAAAACTTTAAAAAACAATCCCAAATAATAAACCGGCTGCTCTAAAATTGAATGTGAAGTTAATTTAATAGGAAAAAGAAAAAATTGGCAATGCATTTCTTTGCATATGTTGGTTACTAGAATATGTCGTTTTCCTTTTGATAGAAGAGCAAATTACTTTTTCTGAAGAAAGAGGATGTTGACCGAACATTGCATCACACAGGGGCGGAAAAGAACCCAAAGACGTCTAGCCCTAAGGTGGGCTTCCACCTTGACTAGCCGGCACCGCACCCGTTTCCAGCGGGCATGTATGGCGAGGTGAAAGCGGTCCGGTAGAGGTTCTCAGTCATGGGATTTCAGGGCAGTCAGCTAAACAGTATTTGCACCGAACAAATGATCCTTTTACCTTTTTCTTTTTATTCATTTGCCTCACCAGGCAAGATGATGCTTCGGCGTGTTTTCTGTAGCATCATGTTTTTCCCTGTTGGTCGATCTTTATTCGTTTATATTCGAACAAAAAACAAAGCCAAACCTGTTTTGCTCAACTATTGGTCGATCTTTGGATGCTTCTTTCCGTTTCTTATTCAATTGACGTAATCGATGTGCGCAATGATTGTTCTTTTAATTTGTGGAGGTATCTTCGTATTTATGCTGTGGGGTGTAATAATTTCAAAGACGCAAGGGATTAAATTGAATTTATATAAAGACTAAAAAGAAAGGACTAGAAAGAAAAAAAATAAAATTTCATGATTGATTTGAGGTACTCTGAGCCTCGCAAGGACGAAGAGATATCAAAAGACAAATTGATCTGTGATAATGCTTTTCAAATTCATATAGGGATATTTTTTAGCAAATCTTATCCCCAAGGTGGCGGTAGGTTTCTCCGAGCCAATCTTCACATGCCCAAAACGCATCTTCATCATTTTGAATGGGTCAGCGTACGAATAATTAATTATATTGGGTTCTTACATCTAGTGACTCGATCTCTTGGTTATCCAGTGCCTGCTCGGGTTCTGGCTGAGGTTGTCTTTCCAAATTGAAGGGATAGCTTAAGACCTAGTTATTTCTCCTTCTCAATCCTCTTCCCGAGAAGTGAAAAGTGGAGGGCTTGTTGGTGATGTGAATCCGTGAATATATAATTCAGATGCCACCAACTGAGAAGATGACAAACACAAAAAGTTAAAAATCAAATTTAAAAAAAAAAATTTAAAGATAATTAAGAATTAAATGTATTAAAAATTAAACTTGTACATGTTGATTGATTACAATGAATAAAAACCCGAAACATAAGAAAATGTCACAAGACTAGTTATATATTAATAAGTCAATTTATGATTTTCATCTTAAAAAAATAACATGTTTATACAAGCAAAACTCAATGTTTATTTATTAATCAAAACTGGTGAAATTTGCAATAAAAGATGTTGTTCTAGGATTAAAGTGGAATTAAATGTTTCACTAATAAATAATACAATTTAATTTATTTAAATATAATAATTAACAATAACCAATAATATAATTAAAGTGTTTAAAATAAAAAATAAGAGAGAGAAATTACAATCTTAATTTTGAACGTGATTCAACTAGATTATATTAACACCTCAAGTGTCAAATTGTATTTAAGTATTGTATTCTTTTACTAGCTCAAGTAAAAAAAAAACTATTTAAAACTTATTCTCAATTAAAAATATTATTAGTCTAATTTGTGTTATCATGTAGGATATAAAAATTTATACTTAAAACTAAAAAATAATACTTAAATTAGGTTTTCATTTTCTTCCTTTTTGGACTTATATCATGCTTATTACTGTATTCTTTATATAAAATCTATTTAAAGCTTATTCTTAATTAAAAATATTATTAGTCTAATTTGTGTTATCATGTAGGATATAAAAATTTATACTTAAAACTAAAAAATAATACTTAAATTAGATTTTCATTTTTCTTCCTTTTTGGATTTATATCATGATTGTTACGGTATTCTTTATATAAAATCTATTTAAAGCTTATTCTTAATTAAAAACATTATTAGTCTAATTTGTGTTATCACATGGGATATAAAAATTTATATTTAACACTAAAAAATAATATTTAAATTAGGTTTTCATTTTTCTTCCTTTTTAGACTTATATCATGCTTGTTACTATATTCTTCATATAAAATTTATTTAAAACTTATTCTCAATTAAAAATATTATTAGTCTAATTTGTGTTATAATATAGGATATAAAAATTTACATTTAACACTAAAAAATAATACTTAAATTAGGTTTTTATTTTTCTTCCTTCTTGGACTTATGTCATGCTTGTTACTATATTCTTTATATAAAATATATTTATTCTCAATCAAAAATATTATTAGTCTAATTGTGTTATCACATATAATATAAAGATTTATATTTAACACTAAAAAAAATACTTAAATTAAGTTTTTATTTTTCTTCCTTCTTGGACTTCTGTCATTCTTCATATAAAATCTATTTAAAGCTTATTCTCAATCAAAAATATTATTAGTTCAATTTTTATAAAAAACAAAGAGCTGGTTATTTATGGTTGATATTAGAAAGGGAATATGTTGACTATGTCAGGAAATGTCATATGTGTCAAGCATATAACGATAAGATTAATGCATCCCCAACTCCCATATTTAATCTAACATCTCTATGGTCATTTATAATTTGGAGAATTGATGTGATTGAACCTATCAATCCAAAAGCTAGTAATGGTCATAGGTTTATTCTAGGGTTATAGACTACTTTACAAAATGGTGGAAGCCAACTATATGCGCATGTAACACAGATGATGTTAAAAAGATTCATAAAAAAGGACTTGATTTGTCAATATAGTCCACCATAAAAAATAGTGATTAATAATACTCAGGACTTCAATGGCAAGATGATAGTAGAGCTCTATGTCAAGTAGAAAATCAAGTATTCCAATTCCTCACCATACAAGCCAAAGATGAACAAAGCTGTAGAAGTTGCTAATAATAATATCAAGAAGATTATTTAAAAAATGGTGATCACCTACAAAGATTTTATAAGATGTTGTCATTTACCCTCCACACATATCATTGATTGGTACTTAAAAGTGTATTTTTATCAAGGTTTTATATCATCATTTTGCACTTGAAGTATCAATAACTCCTTAACTAAAGCATGTTTTATAATAAGATATCTAATAATATAAGATACCTTTAATTTATGGTAAATATTCATTTTAAATGCAGGCCTATCACATAAATGAAAGAATTGATTGATGAACTTAAGAACTGAAATTGAAAGGATAAAGAGATGGCCAAACTTAGAAAAGAGATGTCGGTGCAATCCAAACCGGAACACTGTTCGGTAATTGGGTCATATCTGGAGCTATATATCTCAGATTTAGGTCCAATTTATATGGATGGAAAGGTAAGACATAGGCCTACAACTTTCATATGGAGCCCAAGATCTAAAAAGGCCATTATCAAGTC